ACCGAATTCACGGGAGGGCCCTAAACAAAGGTGACGGTGTTAATTTTGAACCCGGACACCGACTGACTGGTCTTGGCTATGCGATGATAATGCCTTACTTGTTTCAAGTTTTGATGTCACGGGTGAACGAAATTGCTAAATCGGTCCGATTATCCAATAAACGCTGGGAAGACTAAAGTGTTTTCAAGCTGCATCCCTGACCAGATGAAGGCACCTCTCAAGATTGATGGCTGCCAACTTGAAGTTGACAATTTTAAATACCTTGGGGCTAGGCTGCTGTAGAATGGACAGAGTAAGAACAACACTGTCTCCCTAATTAATGCTGCCCGACGGGTTTTCTCGGGTCTTAGATAATGCCTATTGGTCTGACGCGACATCTCCATCGCCACCAAGATTCGCATGTACCGTGTATCCGTCCGGTCTGTCTTTGTATATGGCTGTGAAGGATGGGCTGTGCGTATAGATGACAAGTGAAGACTGGACAACCACTGCTTGAGAACCATCCCTCGAGTGAAGTACACCGACTTCATCTCAAATGAGACAGTCCTCGCCCGCTGCGACAACATCGCAAGGATAACTCCGGCCATCCAAGAAAGACGACTGAGGTGGTTTGGGCACGTTCTGCGTTGTTCACCTTTGAAGCTCAGCAGTACTGCTCTCGACCCGGCACCGTTATCCCATTGGAGGCGTCGAAGATGGTGTTAACTCAAGACCTGGCTCGACGCAGTTGGTCGAGACATGGAAGTAGTTCTTGGACATTCGGTGTTCGCTCTTCGTCGTGGCGAAGAGAATGGGTTGAACTGTCTACATCTGCTGCCGTAGATTGTCACGCGTGGAGAGGTACAGTTCGGGATACCATCGTGGCTGGATAGATCAGGCATGATCGTAGCCGTACAAAGTACAAGTAATTCTGCACTCTGTGTAATCCAGCTCACGACGAAAACATGACAAGACTATATCGGAGGAAACATCTTATCGCATTCAGTGTGGGTAGGACTGTATTATCCTCTTGTCGAACATTCGCCAATACTTTCCTATCGAACATGTTAAACTAACGGCATCAGGTGCAGTTTGGCCGTCGTCATGGACGATATCCACCGCATGCTGCATGGTGGACGCAGGGGCGGTGACTTGGGCACGTATTAGTCTATAGTTGTATTGAACTTGTGAACCATCTACCACAGTCTCTTCCCTCACTTATCCGAGCCAGGTATCAAGAAAGAGCCAAAAAGATCGGAGGCGCGATGGGGCGCAGTGACTAACAGAGCTGAAAGTCCGTCCGCGCGTGCCACACACCAACTGTTCGTGCACGATGGACCAGATTTCCACAAAAACAAAGAGGGACTCGGATTCCAACTGAATGGGAGCGCCACGGAGGCGACACTAAATGGGGGAGAGGGTTACTTGAGGAAAGGCTTGTCGCCAACGCACACAAGCATCTTTTTTGTTGGTTCGAACCAATTCACGCGCAAGTCACCGTCCCTACTCCCACTCTGCTATGGAACAGACGGTGGATATCGTCGAGATCGGCGGTCTAACTGTCATTCCCGTCCATTGAATGCCAGGTCGGTAAATGTTTGTGTCGATGGTGGAACTATGTGTTGGTGACAAACAGTCCTGACCAGCAAAGTTCAGCATTCTCGCACCATTATCGCGTCATGCCAAGTCCAAGACGGCCAGTACGGCGATTGTTGGAATGGCTGCCGGTCCAGTCCGGCCATTCCAGGCACCGGCAACAATCAGCAGAGCACACAGCACGGTCATCTGTCAGCAAACTCTTGCAACTGCGAGTAGGAAGCTTCCTTATCACGATGGCCGGCAGCTGATTTTGGCTCATACAAGGAGACGACAGACGTTCGCAAAGTGACCTTTCAGTCGCATACAACCTATCCGGCCATTGGCTGGTTCCCGTGCGAATAGGGCACGTCTGGCTTGTTGCGAGGGCGACCACCACGCCGTATCTACCAGAAGAGTCAGTGGGTCGCTCAGGTAGAGAGTAAAGTGAGAGATGACTCCCAGGATATTTATTTTCTGAGCGTCTAAGTCGGAGATTCGAAATTCGGATAGATGGCAGACGTCAGCGTGGTACTGATAAAGACTGAGCGCCATCAGACTTTTGGCACGCGGATCCAGGAACATTCGCCCATCTGAGCATCCAATACCAAAAGTCCGTTCTCGGGTGAAGTCTAGCCCGCATATTATTCGACAGCACCATTGGACCAGGGTTTGGAAGCGCGACGGTCCCCGCAGACGTCGTAGTATGTATTTTAATACTGTAACTAGACATTTTCACGGGGTTTCTGGGAACTTTTGAATATAGGTGAATTCCCAAGTCGCTCAGATTGTTTGATTGAGGTTGTTTTCTCTATAATTTTGGTTCAAAAATCTAACCCCAAGCCACTGGTGGCAAGCAAGCTCGACTAATGGTGATTCGCGGTCACCATGTCAGAGTGCTACCACCGAGCTCTGAGGTATTTTAGAATGCAGTCGGTGTGTCAGACCTTTGCCCTCCACGCCAAAAGAACGCGGCTTCGGGTTTCAGTTGACGACGGTTTCCCTTGTCTTCGTCAGTAATATCATTCTGCCTATATTATGCGCCGCTATGCGACTACTGGCAGGGCTCAA